ATTATCAGTGAGGTTGAACAACTTCAAGTGTATTTATTTACAGCTGTTTATGTGTCTCTTTAATATTTTGTGTTCTATCTTTTCCCCATTTTTATTTTCCTAACTTTTATGAAGATTTTTATGCATTGGAATATCAGCCTTTTAAAATATATCCTAAAATAGTCCACACCCTGGATTTAGAGGTGGGGCAGGGTGCACTTTAGTGCCTTGGGGGCTTCTGGCTTTGTCATGGAATACTGTAATACACACCTTTGTGTCTTGGTGGCAACACTGTGCCAGGGCAACAGCACTAGAGGAGGGGTCTCCATCAGGAGAAATGGCCAAACTTCATGGTCTCCTCTTCTCCTTTATGGCCTTATTCCTTCTTGCAAAGGTCAATCCTCAACCTTTTCTTCCTACTGCAACCCTACTTAGGCAGGACTGGGAATTGATTTCCTTCCAATCCTGGAAACCACTGCAAAACAGTTCCCTGGCTTACGTACTTGGTGAGTTCCTAAAAATGCAAGCCTATGGCTATTATTCATATTTGATATTATATCCTCCCATGGGTAGCCATTAAATTTTCAAAGACCTTCCCACAGGTGACTACAGAGCATCCCAAATACTTGAAAGAATACAGATCCACAGTTATCCACACTCTGGAGGTTAGGGGGCCAGAACTCTGTAAACTTATTTTAAAAATTATTTGAATGGATATGAAATGATTTGAGAGCACTTATCTCACTTGGCATGAATATTTTTATGTTTTACTATAAAAAATTCAACATGTTTGAGCGCTTCCCTACCCCTAATGAGGGCGTTACATAACATAGAGTCTGTACTCACATTACTCTTTTAAAAACACAACAAATCCCAAGGTATGGCCCACATGGGTAACTGTTCAGGAACCATGACACTATATTAATATTCACTTTGGGAAGCAATTTGCACTAGTCAATTGTCACTTGATTCATGCACAAACTCTATGGGAATGTAATTAAATGGATGTTTAGGACACTTCTCTCTTTCATGTTCAAATAAAGGCCAAAGAGCATGGTTATGTCCTTTTCAGATATTTCCATTTCTTTGGGAATATTTGGTGACTACATGGAATTCTAATAGTTAAGTCTTCAGTCTTTATCTATCAATTCTTTATCAATTTATTAGTTTCATGAAATTAACAATCCTATACAGACTGTGAATACTATAATAAAGAGGCTTCTGTTTTTTAAAATATCATATTACATCAATCAACAAATATTTCTAACTTTGTTAGAAACTAAGTATAAACCTCAAAATGATTTAATGCTCTGATTGAATCATTTAAGAACCAGTGAAGATATTTTATTTTCTGTGGAAAGCTGTGTGTATGTGCCTCTAATGGGCCCTTACAGTTTTGTAGTTAGGCAGTGTATTCACTGTGGTTATAAATTGTATAAAGACAGAAATCTCTACTAAGTGAGATTGACTAGAGCTATTATCTCTATTTATCAGATAAGCAAATAGAAAGGATTCAGATATCCAGATACATGGAACACCAGGAAGATTCACAGAAAATAGGATATCTCAAAGAAACATAGTCATCAACTTGGCCAAAATAACATTAAGGAGAAACTTCTATAAGGATCAAGAGGAAAGACGCAACAAATCTACAAAGAATTGCCCATCAGGTACCATCAGAATTCTCAGGGGAGATCGTACAAGGCAGAAAGGACTGGGGCCCCCATTTTTAGTCTTCTAAACAGATCAACTTCCAGCCAAGAATTTTGTATCCTGCAAAACTATGTTTCATAAATGACAGAGAAATACTGTTTTTCAGATAAACAAATGTTAAGAGAATTTGTCACCATTAGACCTGTCCTACAGGAAATACTCAGAACTGCATTATGCATGGATCAGCACAATAGGTACCTACCAGTGTAAAAACATCCCAAAGCTAAATCTCACAGTTCCCATAAAACAATAAAAATATATATATGTATACACATACATATATATATTTCATAAAATAGTTTCTCTTGGTTTTTCTTTGTCTTTTGATTTTGTTTAATGTTTTCATGCATTGTATTTATTTTTATTCAATCATCTGCATAGACATTGTTGTGGAATTAAGTTAGCATATACTTGCAGAATTTGAACATTAACCCCTTAGCTGTTTTTACTCTGATGCTATTTTATTATGATTTGAGTGCCTTGGATGTCTGTAACATTCATCCCTGGCTTATCACATCTCATACATATAACTTACTCTCTTACCACTTTTCAGATAACACATGGGTCTTAAGGACCATAACTATTCCTTTCCTCCTGAAGTTGCCCTTCCTTCACTGTATGCAGAATCCCCAACCAGAGTTCATTCTGTTCAGAGTACAGGTGACTGCTGGTGTTTCTGTCCACTGTTCAAAGTCAGGTGTATAGTACTCCAAAATTTCAAATTCCTAGAATTGCATTTTATAAAATGTTTAAATGATCAGATAATTTACAAAAAAATATGAATTTTAGACTTATATGTAGAAATGAAAACAAGAATGTCCTAGATGAGCAGGATAAAATATGCTTCTCTATACATAAAATGAAAAGTAGAAATTCTAAAAGGAAATATGTTTGCACACATAAGCAATTTTTAAAAATCAACTCCTGTCTACCATGCAGACCTCTTTCCTATATGTTATCTCACCAAGGTGTTTCCATGGCTCATCCCCACATCTTCACCACCATCTTGGTAATCACCAGTTTGAGCCTCGGGAATAAGTTTGCTCAAGATGAAATCGCCCACAGTCTAGTTTGATTGGAATCGTTTACATCTGTACAGGCAAGACTGCTAATAGCCAAAGTTGAGGATCTTACAAAGAGGACAATTAAAGAATAATATCTCTCATAAACATCAACATTCAAAAAATGGTTTTCTCTCTCCTTTTCTCTCAAATAATCCATCATAGTGAAGTTGAATATACAGTGTGTCCATAAAGTTTGTGTACAAATCACTTCTTCTACATAACGCTATGCAATGATGAAACCAGGTGATCAGTGTAGTACACGACTCCATCTAGTCCTCTGGTCTATTCTAAATTTTGAGAATTTTTCTAGTAACGTCTTTTCTAACAAAATGATGCCATTCATCAATTATGCTGTCAATTTTAATAAAATCAATCAATTTGTATATACATATGGATATGTATAATATTGTATTGGTCAGCTTTTGAATAATAACAACTTCTAACCAAACACTCAAAACTCAGTGGCTTATAATGACAAGTGTTGTCCAATGTTCAGGGATGCTCCTGGTAACAATTACCCACCTGATTAAGGCAGGGCTCAGCTGGGGAGTTCTACTGCAGGTCTTTAAGCTTGTCTTCAGCCTATGGATTATAATCAATCTAGGGCCAAGCAGAAAAGTAGTGACTATCTAAGATACAACATTTTCATGAAATGGTGAGGAAATGAGCAAAACCCACAAATCAAGCTGCACAGGCATACTATGAATTTAAGTAAAATGACTTCTAGCAGAGATACAAATGAATTGAATTTATTCTTTCACTATGGAAATTCCTGAAGTTCCTAAAAACATTGGATTGACTTATCAGGGCATATAACCAGTTAATAGGCAAGTAATTAAATATTTCAATCTTTGCAATCTATAAAACATTTTGAAATACAATTTTTATGATTTAGTTAATAAAGCTAGGTGTATTCAACATACAGTTCTAAATAGATATTTTTGTAAAAGGCCTCATTAGAAAAAAATCTCTTTCACAGAAGTACAGACCACTTAAAACACAGCTTCTTAAATTTTCCGGATCATCTGTTACCTTGTGAAATGCAAGCTGTCATCCGGTGGGTCCAAGGTGAGCCTGCTGCTTTGCATTTGGACTATGGTCACAGTGATGCTGATGACAACGGTGCCTTCTGGACAATTTTGGGTAGCGAGGTATTTTCATACTAAGGAAAAAGAATACGACAGGAACACTTAGATTCTGTTGTTTGCAGATTTGTCAAAATGTTTTTTCCTTTTGTTTATCAAGTGATTGCTATGTATTTGAAATGTTATTTACTCATTTTTTCTGTTTACTCTGTGACTTAGTGAAAGTTTCTGGCTATAACCCTAGACTTGGTCATGAAACTTGGAAGCATGTGTATTCTAGGGCCATCCCCTAGGTGGACAGATACTGAGAGTAAGGAGAGTAGTGACTAACAGGCTGTCAGCTGTCAATTCTGAACCACCACAATCACTTAAAAGCATGTTTCTCAGAACCCCTTTTCCCTGTATGGTTTTCTGAAGAGTTTCTGAAAGATGGGCCCTCACATCACATATGGAAAGAAGAAAAGGAACATTTAATATTTATTGAAACCTGCAGGCAGACACATGGATGGAGCTGAGGGATAGAGACTACCTGATGAGGTGCACAGGCAGCTGAGAGCATCAGCACCCCCACCCTAGCCTCCCACAGGTCTGAGGCCCACGTGGTCAGGCAGCCCACACCTTCAGGGGCAGATGTAATCTAGTTTCAGAGTATCCTCCCATTTCTAGACCTTCCTTCCTAACATACCCCAGGATTTGTAGGATTGTATTTTAGACACCAAATCCCTTGATTAAAACAATTTTTGTTTCAGTGCACCACAAGTGGTTTCTCTTTTGTTAGAGAAATACGAAATACCACAAGTCAGACTTTTTAAATGTAACAACCTCTCTTCTTAATAAAATCAAGAGAGATATCCTTATTTCTCCACTGCTGCTGGGGCTGAGAAAGGAGCCTTCCTGGTCCCGTCTACCAAAAGTATCCTATGGCCTTTAGAATATGCTGCCTCTGCTATGTTAACCAGTTTGATGAAATGTTTCAAATTGTATGTGAAAACACCACACTGTACCCCAGAAATGCATTAATGTACATAGTTACCATTCAATAAAAAAAATTAATAAATAAAAGAATATGCTGCCTCTGAGAAATGTCCTCAGCCAATGGAGGAAGGAGGAGAGGCAGCTGGGGCCGCCCAGCCTCACACACCTGCTTCCCTGGGGTGGTTTATGCTATGACTTGTAACACTGTGGGAGGGTAACTGTTATACTGCTGACAGTAATAATCTGCAACATCTTCAGCCTGCAGACCACTGATGGTCAGAGAATAATCTGTCCCTGACCCACTGCCTCTGAACCTCGAGGGGATCCCAGTTTCCAAATTGGATGCCTTATAGATCAGCAATTTAGGTGAATCCCCTGGTTTCTGCTGATACCAGGCTAACCAATTACTAATGCTCTGACTGGCCTGGCAATTGATGGTGACTGTGTCTCCTAGAGAGGCAGACAGGGAGGGTGGAGTCTGGGTCATCTGGATGGCACAGCTGGCACCTGAGATGGGAAAAATATAAAGAAAACATACACACAGTTAATCAATTCTTAGACCCAGTCAGTACTGACCACACTGTCGGAGCAAATCCCTGGTGTTCTCCCTCCTCACCTGGGAGCCAGAGCAGCAGGAGCCCCAGGAGCTGAGTGGGGGTCCTCGTGTCCATGCTGTGTCCTGACAGGGACTGAATTCTGCACAGGGTGAGGGTGTGACCAACCTCCTAATAATACTCCTGGGTGAGGGCTGTGCCCTGGAAACATGCAAATCAGCAGAGGGTGGGCAGGCTGGGCACAGCTGCAGGGCTGGCTGATCCCCAGGACTTACCACAGGCCCAGTGGCCCAGCTGTCTCAGAGCAGACCAGGGCAGCAAAGATTCATTTGTAGAGCTCATGTTTCTCCCTGGGGGCTACAAGACACAATATGCTTAATGTCTTGTGAAGAGAGTGTTATTTTTATCTTTTCAAGGTTTAGGACATGCTTTACCTTTAAATCTGTGACATAGTCTGTCAAGGATGGCACAAACTCCAGAAATGACAGGAAAGTTCACAAGCTCTTTGCATTTGGGACCTTTAGATATCAGTGACCTCAGAGAGGCTTCATCTTTCCTTGGATTCTCCGATGCCTTCAGTGTGATAAAATGTCATTACTAACATCCAGAGATGCCATGAAATAGAAGAGAGAGAAAAAAACCCGGTAGGGATCAGGATTTGTAAGGAAGGGCGGCGCGTCATCATTAACCTGCCATGTCCAGCTAAGTGATCTGTCTGCCCCCATCTCTGAACGCTCTGCTCCACTCCTTCCATCAGGCCAGCCAAGGTCAAGGATTTTCTCCCTCCTCACCTAACAAGCATCAGCTGCCTTCCTGGCTCTGTTCTGCCACACATATTCACTCTAGATGTCCCCCGAGTGCCTCAGATTATCATGAGTGCTTCCCATCTCCTCACCCCAAGCCACTCCCTTCAGAAGTGGAGTCCTCTGCAGACCCAGTGTTCATGTTCACCTTTCAATCTACAGTGGTCCCTCAGCCTGCACATTCCTCCATCACCAAGTCTCTTACAGTTCCTAAGAGAAAGCAGCTCTCAATGTCTGGGTTTGGGACAGTGGGGCCCAGCAGGGTGAGGGCAGAAGCAGTCAGGAGATGAAGGTGGAAGCCCTTCGTAAGTGTTGGATCTACAGTGGGGAAGGAGGGTGTCCCCACACAGGAGAGGTGCTGCTGCTGACCTGGTGTGGGGGGGAACAGGAGGGTGGATGAGCAGGGCATTCATGTGGGGAAGGACTCCCAGTGCAGGGGCCAGAGCCTAGGAAGAGTGAGGAGGGCACCCACACTGTGGGTGCAGAGATGGTGAAGGTCATGGAAAGGGCATGAGAGCTAGAGCAGGGTGTGAGAGTCTGTGTGTGCAGAGTTGTCAGCAAGGGAGGACTAGGGGATGATGACATAAAGGTCTGCTTTAGAACAGCGGGGATGATTTATAAATAGATGCATTAATGATAATTAGAGCCAAGATTCTCACTATCAGGGAAAATAGTTACTATAAGGAAAGAGGACTGTCTGAATAAACTCTGTGATCTTGGCATGGAATTAGTGATCACTGTGAACTCATAGTGTTTTGTGATCAAGATATAAATATGTGTCTGTGCTGTGGATAGAGACATTGATAAATAAATAGACAATTTTTCCTCGTCTAGGAACAATGGGACACCTCAGTCCCACGTTGCACCCATGGTGTCCAGATCTTTGTTCCTAACTATCATTTGCCACTAATATCATTGGAGAAATGTCTCTTTCTAGGTCTAGGGTAGGACAAATCTAAGATAGGTCTGGGCCATCTTGAAACTAAGGAAACATTCAAAGAATGATGACGTTATAGCAAAAGGAAATAGTAACAAATTTGAATGGGGCAATGATTAGCCAAAACTAAGGGATTATTAGTACCAAAATCCCATAATGATTACTTTGAAAGGAAAGGAATAGGATAGTCATAAAGTATCAAATGCACAAAATTTTATTGACTATAAAGGAGAAAAACTGCATTAGGGAATCCTGGCAGACACTGTAGTCCAGATGCAAAGTGAACATCATCAGTGATGATGCGGATTGAAATCGCGCACCTGATAGGATGCAATGAGAGCAGCAGGTCATCGCTTCTGGATACTCCTGCCAGTTATGGGCTGAACCGTGACCTCCCAAAATTCTTATGTTGATGCTGTAACGTCCAGGGCCCCAGAGGATGATTTTGCTTGACAATAGGGTGTTAAAGAGGTAGGTCAATGTTAATAAAATGCAGTCATTCGGGTGGAACCTAATCCAGCGTGGCAGGTGTTCTTATCAGAAAAGGAAATTGGAACTCAGACACAGGTGGAGGAAAAACAACGATAAAGCAAAGGAAGACACCATCTGTACACCATGGAGAGAAGCCTCAGAAACCATCCAGCTTGCTGGCACCTTGACCCTAAACTTTAGCCTCTGGAATTGTGAGAAAATAAATTTCTGATGTTGAAGCCACCCAGTCTCTGGAATTTGTTATGACAAGCCTAGCCAACTAACGTATTGAAAAAGACGCATTCATTGAATTTAATCATGAGGAAAAAACAACAAGCCGACATTGAGGGACAGTCTGCTTAACAGCTAATGTGTAATTTTTTTAAATTGACACTCATGAAATTCTAGGAAAGACTGAAGAACTCTTCCAACTTGAAGGAAGCTAAAGAGACATGGGCCAATAAAGACAACACATGAATCTGAATGGCATCATTTGTTACAAAAGATGTTACTGGAAAAATTCTCAAATTTCAAAATAGACCTGGGACTAGATGGAATCATATTTTATACTGTTCACCTGATTTTATCACTGCACTGGCATTATGTAGAAAAAAGTGATTTGTAGGAAATGCATAGTAAGGTTGTGCCTATCAGGTTTTCAGCTTACACTTAAATAGTTCCAGTGGGTAAAAATACTTAGTGCTGTTCTTCAAAGTTGTGTCAGTGTATCTTCAAAATTTGTAAAGTAACAAAGCAGTTCTTCAGGGCCTGCTAAAGGTATTCTTAGCATTCTGAAATGGCTCTGGCCCATCCTTATTACTTTTCGAGGATCAAGGTATTTCCTACAGATGATACCATATGTCCCCAAAGGATGAGTCCTTCATACAAACATCATTGCCCAAAGACCAGAAGGGACAGGTCTCTAAAACCCAGTGACCTGACAGGCCACACCCCACTCTTGGTCTGGACCCTCCACACTCTTCCTCCTCACTGTCTCAGGGTTTTATATTGTACACATCCTCAGAGTGACAGCTCTGGCTGAGGCTGACAGACCCACTGACCTCAGTATAGATCATGGCTGCTTCCACCAACTATAGACAGTGGCCCTGGAATTAGAGCCTAGGTAATTTTAAATCCAGGCCAATTTGGCATCACACAAGCCACCTAGCACCAATTTTCCCCTAAGTAGGATGAAGACCAATCAAGATCATAACACCTAGAAAATTGCTGTTAGTTGCAGAAAGAACAGAGAGGAAGGGACTATGGGAGGAATACAAAGCCTGGCCTGCTGGGAGGGTAACCAACCAGGGAGTCCCAAGCCCCCAGGTGAAGGCTGCAAAGAGAATCTCTGTCTGAACGGCACACAGGGGAAATGTCTGCAAAAGAGGTCCTTGTGCCCTTTGTGTCTGTGATGACTCAGGTACCTTCTGCTGAGTGGAGAAATGTTAGTCCGTACCTAGTCCTACAATGTGTTCTAAATATCTCCACTCATAGCAACATTTGCCTATTTAGGAGATGAAGATAATGTAATTATAAATGAAATAAAATAATTTATTTATAAATTAAATTTGCCTATTTAGGAGATGAAGATAATGTAATTTATGATGAAGAATAGAAGGCAGAACACGTGTGAACATATACAGCTAATTAAATCTATTGAGTACTGCTGCTTCCAATTTTGACGTTATTTGTACAAAGTGTGTGTGTGTGTTTTCAACTTCATTCTGCCTTTACTCATTCCTGAATAAGTCATAAGATTGTAACCAGATTTTTAGAAACCTAATTTATGATTCAAGTTAGGAGTTTTTAATGATTTAAAATATAATTGCTTCCCGTTTTACTTTTAGAATCTTTTGACTTGTGATTCTATTTGAGTAAATGTTTTAAGATTTTGATATTTGACAAACTTTCCAAAGTCAAAATTCTAAATCCAGTCATTCTGACTTCACACTAGTTTTTTTAAATATTAGAGCCACTGAAAGTCACATTACTTTTTTAAATATTAGGGCCACTGAAAGTCTAAGACAAACCTAATTAGGCTGATTTGGTGTGCTAAAACTGAATAGGAAACATTGTCAAATATAAAGTAGTGTTTACCTTTCCTTGGATAATATTTGCATAAAAATGTTATCAAAGTATGATCCGATATTATAAAATATTGATATGTCTTGGTGTATGTTGTCAATAATAGCTGTAGTTATTATGTTAAACTGTTGTTTGCCACAAAATAACTGACTTTGCTGATGGCCTCTTTAACCATGGCTATTCTAAGACTTTTGTCACCCACAGACAATTATTATTTTACTTTGACTCTCCTTAAAAGATGGTTTGTTTGTTTTTTAAACTGGCTACAGTCCAAAGTTTGCTTCCTCCAGGAAACTCATGGAAAAGACAGACAAGTTCTCTTGAACACAGACACGTGATAGCTTTGGAGCTTACAAACCACTGGAACAAAACAGTTAATGAGACGACAGTGGCTTTTATTTTTCTAGGAAGCATAAGTGTTCCACCTCACTGACTTATTCACTTTTTCTGTGACCTTCTCTATGTGGAGGGTGAGAGTATACAAACTTGACCTTGACTCCCATGCCCTGCTTGCCTTGATTAATGGCATCACTCCAGGGTATTAGTATCATGGAAGCAGTGAAGGGGTGGGACTGAGAAATATTATTTGTTTATTATCTGTTCATCCCCTTCAATGAAAGCTATGTGAGGTCAGGGGTTCTGTTTGTTCACAATGCCTTCTGCCTAGGAGAGTAAATGATACTGACATGTTATATATGCATTGTTGTATACAAATAATATTCTCACTATTTGTGTAACTTTACAATTTTTTGTTTGTTTTGAAATAAATGAAGAATTGCTGTATCTGAGCTTGGGAGCTAAAGCTGTTCCACCTACTTCCCCTGCAGGAGG